CGCCGCCCCCGGGGGGCCCCACCGTGACGGCGGCTGCTGCAGGCCTACCCCTCGGGGAAGAGTGAGGGGACAGCTGATGCTGCTCAGTCGTGAGTCCTTCAACCCACCACCCTTGGGCAATGCACCCCAACACCCAGGGCTGGGCTCCAAGCCTCCTTTTAAATCGATTCGCCCCACTTGATGAAGACGAGTGCTATCTTACTTCCATAACAAATAAAGTTGTCTCGTGGACAAGAGCATCGCTAACATAACGCACGTTAGCAGCTAATTCCAGACAGCTGCATGTAGCAGATGTGGTCGTCTCAGTAGCCGAGCTGTGACCTGAACGAAGGGGGAGCGGGGCTGGCTGCTCGTGTGAGTGGCCCTTACTTATCCAAGGTTTCCTTTTCCTCCAAATGTTCCCTGGTATTCGACTTCCTAAAACGTCAGGGGTTTCCATGTCACGCTGCGTCTGTGTAACACGTGGTGGGCCTCTCCCCCTCGTCACCATCCCCATGCAGTGACACACCAGGGAGGACCAGAAACACCTCACCCCGTCTGTACCTTAGCACGCGCACAGGCGAGACTGCACTGCCTCGTCCATGTCCACGTTTTGCTCTGTCTGGGCACAAAAGTTGAAAACAATCTCAGCTTCGGTGATTCCGTCCACTCTCAGGTGCACAAACAAGACCTCCCATTGTTCAGACTCTCCCAGGCAAACTGCAGAGAGTTCTCCCTCCCACGTGGACATGTGTGCAGGCAGGTGGGTCACGAATTTGTTCGGAGACTGATGATTCCAGACGACATAGGAGAAGGGAGACTCTACAAACGCTCTCTGGGCCTCCCTCATCTCACTTCCTGCGGAGCGCTGGCATGTCACCCAGACACCACGGGTCATGTAATACAATTTACTGGGGCTCCCGTGTCTGCGTCAGCTGTGGTGCGGCACGTGCCGGTACAGGCCGCCCTGCTGCAGGCACTGAGCAAGTTGTCAGGGACCAGTCACCTGGTGTCTGGAGAAGTGGCTGTCCCAGCAGGAGCAGGGCTGGCTCAGAAGGCACTTTCTCCCTGGCGAGTCAGAACACCTCTCACACCGGCCTTCCTCTCCGGCCACTCCTGGCCACGCAGCCCTCCCCTCCCCTCCGCCTTTGTGGCACGTGGCCGATAGCTGCTCTCCTGTGGTGTGTGTGGCTTGTGTGGCCTGCGTGGTCTGCGTGGTTTGCGTGCCTGGACAGCCCTCTTGGTGTCCTCCCACCACATGAGCAGCCAACAGCCATCTGGTAAACTCCGTTCACCCTTCCCTCGCTGAGTCAGTCCTGTCCCTGGCCCTGTCCCTAACGCGATAAGGCCGTCAGAGATTCACAGCTAGTGGTCGGCCTCAGCTGAAGGATGTGGCTTGCCCTGTCTGCAGGGACTGTCTGGAGCTGAACTTGGGGCTCTGCTACTGGCGCTCCGACACCAAATACCCGCAGACATCGGCTTCCCGCCGCAGCCTGACGCCTGAGCCCCCCACACGCAGGGCAGTTAGTCACAAGCCTTAGGAATCACTCCTCACTTCATCGGAAATGGTGTCACCCATCCCATCCTGCCTTGTTCCTCCGTGAGCCTCCGACCCGGGAAGCTGGTTCCCTGGCATGGACCCATGCCTTCAAGAGGGGTTTGCTACCCCTGAGTATAACCGTGAGTGTCACAGCTGGGGAGTAATTCCAAAGATGCCTTTCCAGGAGGGTCCAGACGTGCCCAGCCCCATGCCTGGAGCCGCTCCTGGAGCAGGGAGGAGCAGGCATCCTCAGCCTCACTGCAGCCTCATGGCCACGCAGCTTCACTGGGGCCCGGAAGCCGGTCTCTAATGGACGTGCCTATGTCAGAGCTGCCTTCAGTTCTGGGAAGAGGTGGAGATGCCCTGAGTCCTACTTTAATTACATAGTTAATGTCGAGTCGGAGAAATGCAGCAAAGGCAAGTCCTTCTGAAAGACGCTTGGGGTCACACCACAGGGACGTGCATCTTGGGAAGGTGACTGCCAGCCACCTCGCCTTTTGCTGCTGGTCTAGACGGTGCAAGCCAGTAACGGTGCCTGGTGATGGGGCAGCCGGCACGCCACTGTCCCGGCCCTCCTGCTCACTGGTTCCAGGCGGGGACCGCGTGGGGCTCAGTTTTGTTTTACTCCTTTAGGTGCTGAAACTGACATGCACTTCATTCATCCAGCACAGGTGGCCATTAGCAAGGATGACAGCCCGCCATAGGCACCGCCGCGTCTGGGGACAGTGCGTCACCAGAGAGCCCTGACTTACACATGCAGGCCGGGGCTCTCCCTGCCCTTCTCACTGACCCTCTGACCCTGAACCCCGTGCCTCATCCCGACTTGGCTGCTGAGGCTCCTCTCCGTGTTCAGGGACCCCCAGCCGCCCTGTCCAGTGGCCTCTTTCTCAGATCTAGCTTTCGCGGCTTCTCTGGACTTACTGGTAAAGCCCGTCTCTGGCAATCCTCTTCCCATGGCTACTCTTGTTCTCGCATTTCTCCCTCCTCGTTGCTGCCAGCTAAAGCCAGCTCAGTACTTTTCCTCTCCCTCTGCTTACCCTTTCCTGCCACATCTTTACCTACATCCCAAATTAGAAAGCTATTCTCCCAGGGTTGGTTTTCCAGTGGCTTCCTCCTCCCTGTTCACGCTGTCTCAGTGGTCTCCTGCCTTTCCGCAAGGTCAGGTTCGATTTCCATGGACACCTTTTCCAGACCTTCATCAGCCTCCTGGTTGCCCCCAGTAACTGTTCACTGAGGAAAACTGTGGTACACGCTCAGGGCAGAGCACGGGCGTGGGGCGGAGAACACGCTGCAGCCCTGGGATAGGTGTGCATTCCAGGCTCTCCCCGTGTCTCCCATCAGGAAACTGCCAACTCCAACCAAGTCCATGAAGACCCTGACATTTTTATCCTGAAAAACTACACATTCACATGGATTCTGTCCTCTCTGCCCAGGCGCCAGACTATTGCAATCATTTAAACTGAAAATGAGTTAATTGCATGGTCACCCACAACCCTTAC